TCAGACAGTTCGACCCGTATCCCGTATCCCGTATCCCTTGCTACTCTCGGTGCCATATGCTATTGGTCTCAGTCGAATATATTCCAAGCCTTTCCCTCGACTCGATCCAATCTTTCACTTTCTTCATTGTCCCTAGACATTTCCTCGCCCCACGGAATTCCAGGATTTCTTCAGGCGTGAAGCCTTTCGGTGCATAGTAGCTGCGATAGTTTAGTTTTTTGTTTATGAAGGTTACAAGGTGGAATGTCGGGAGGAGGGTCGCGCCTGACTTCCCAGTCTTTAAAGTTCTGAATGGCGTTAGTAGCAGTTCATGATCTACATGGTATAACTTTAATGGCCGAAGACGATGAGTCCACGGTGGACATTGGATGATTATTACGGATGACTGGGCGTATGCCCTTGAGGAGTCGGGGCATGATGAGCGTACGTTGAAAGACTGAGGACGCTTTCTGACCTGCCGGCCTGCCACAGCCGTATCTATGGATCGTCGCTCATCTTCACCTCTGGCGCACGCTATCAGACTCTCATCATTGACGACGACTTAACATGAAATTCTGAATAGTGTTACATTCGTTTCCCTGCAACGATAACTAGCTTCCCGGTAACGAGTACATACTTCTCTTCTCTTAATTCTCTTTGCATGCCGTCGTTGTTGTCCTCATTCTTCCACTCTTCCCAAGCATACATATTTCTTTAGAAACACTACTGTATATTATACTTTCTTATACAGTGTATACAGTACAGATACTTACATAGGTCGAAACGCACCTTGTAGAAATGAGATTAAATAACACTGTGAACTTACGAGTCGCGCACTTACAGTATACTGTAGTTGCGTTGTTCGCCAGTCTCCATTTCTAACTTTTCGTGCGTAAGTCTCCAGTTGTCGAGGAAGCCTCGCGCTTCAATACTCAAACCTACGTTAAATTCATCCCTTCGATTCATCGGTTTCGGAGTATTGGCAGTATCCAATCGAGTATAACGCGTACGGTTGAAAAACGAACATCGCGATTTCGACATGCAGTGTGACACATTGTGCGTTTGACACAGAGCTGTACGTATACAAGCAAAAAAAACACTAGCTTCAAGATCTCCCTGAGAATACATGCAACAGCAGCCTCCAATTGCAAGAGGGCCAACGAGATTCGACTAATGATTCTGCCTAGTCATCTGTTCGGGAGCTCGTGTTAAGGCGAGGGTTCCTCTAGTGTTCAGATGGTGTAACAGAAGCGCGTTAAATTGTTCGTTCTCCAGGCCGCAACTGGGAGTGTAGTTATATAGCAAGCATCGGATTGGCTTGTTGTTACAATTTATTTTTGATGGAACTGTGGATGTCTTTTCGCTCAGGAAGTAACCGGATTATCTTTCACTACACATATCGTCAGTAGAACTCTTGGTAGCCTGGCGCACTTTGTGATTAACCAACACAAGTAAAGTCACTGTTGCAGAATATGTAGGTACATAGGTACATGTTACATTCAAAGGGGACACAGATACTATTTTTTTTTTTTCAATATACTGGCGCAACATGATCACATCGCGTTTTCACTCCGCCATGTTGGACTTGATGATAGAGAGCCCGGAAATGCCAGCTAAAAGGTGTTCATGTTCGAATAAACCCAGAAACAACCTACAAAGAAACAACATACTTTCAGCACCATTGGTCTGGAAGCCAGCCAAGGCCAGCGGGTTGGAAACGGAGAAGAAGACGCCGTCAGCGGTACCGTCCTGTCCTCCAAAGGGCTATGTACAACGTACGAGTTAGAACTGACTCAGGGATCAAGGAAAGAAAAATGTTCGAAATTTACCCCTGCAATCCTAACAGCCCCAGTCATCGTATCTGTGATTACGAGCTTGAGTTGGATGAGAAGACTGTTCTTGTAGTACGGATAGCTCCCCGCGAAGCCACACATCTGGGTGACAATCTCGTTGTCTAAGTATTGAAAGTAGGTTCAAACTTGCGTACTAACGAAGAGGATCAAGTAGCTCACCATTGAGATTGACGGTATTCCAGTTGGAGCTTCCTGGGTTAACGGGGGAGCCACGCTGGATGGTCTTCATGGAACCGTTGGTCAAGCGGTACTCGGTAGTGATAGCGTCAACGACCCATCCAGCGCTGATCTTGAGCTGCTTCATGGGGTGCTGGGGGTCAATCATGAGGCCAGGATCGGAGTTGGGGAAGTTGGTCGCTGAAAGAAATCGAGGTCAACGGGGGATAGCCAAAACAGTAGAGGACGCTGACCATCTTGGCAGTCGTTGAACACGGTGCCCTGGGCACCACCAAAGTTGGAAGTCTGGACAAGAACAGGTTTGTTTTGGTACATGGTGAAAGCGCTTCGATGAGATGGGAGACTGAAGGGAATCGTCAAATGCTGCCTTCATTTATAGGCTGGAGTATACGAATGCCGGTTCTTTCTTTTTTTTGTCTTCTCACATCCCTAGCCACTCAAAGTGCAAAAAGAATAGAAGCGTAGACATGGGCCACCTAGTGGCCCTCGATCGGCCGCTGCCTGAGAGCTTACAGGAGGGACCAGTGCTAAGAAATTCCGAACGAAAGTGTATGCACACAAGCATACTGGGTGCGGCACATTGTGAATGTATCTCCGTTCCTTGGCAGACTTATTGATTCGGGCGTAACGCGCTGTGGCGGTCATAGAGAATGGCAAATAGTGGGGCTTACAAGTGAAAATTATCATGGGGACCGTTACTCCAGAGATGCTCGAATTATATTGGTCCTCCAGAGGATAGTTTTTGCTTTCAGAGAGCTTTGGAGAACCTGGAGAAGTTTGACACCTTTTCGACAGCTCTGGAGCTCTCTGGAGTTTCCTGGAGACCGAAAAAACAGGCTTTGCTGATGATAAATAAGTAACGGGACTCAAAACTAAATACTACTATTCCAATACATACCACTCGACTTGAGCTTGAAATATCTTTACCTTCGCCGCTTTCACACCTCTCTTCTATCAGTTGAACTATAGGAGGAACCACCCCAATGAGAAGGTCCAGTGAATGAAAAGGTCCAGTGAGAGCTCCCGAGTCATTTGACAAGGATTCCAATTTTGCAGAAGGTACGAATGTGAGGCAAGTGACTAGCAACTAGCCATCTTACGTTCCCTGAATGGAGATGCGGGGTCAAGATGACTCTGCAGAGTGCTAGTGTTGACGTTACAGTTGCGTTACAGTATTGAATCGATTTGGTATTGGCAAACCTTCGTTCGACTGATCCTGATACCCAGACCCAAGTTCAAACTCCACAAAATGAATCGATCCTTCTGTATCCAAAGCTCCGATTCCGTCCAAATTAAAGTTATCTGTTATGGCCTTGAGCCTATGGATGGACGGGCTGGGAAATGTGGACTCGTTTCGATTCATCGGTTTTGGTGTGCTAGGCGTTCGCAGTGTAGGCGCATCCAAAGCCAGTCGAGTGTAACGTGGGTTGAAAAACGAAACAAGTAGGATGTCCGGCATGGACCGTTTCCAGTAGTGAACAACCAAGAGTTGGCGCACGGGCATTTCAGCCAAGTATGTCTGGGAGACTTCTGGATTCGAGGGATCTGTTGCATTGTATCATTGTATTTTTTCTTCATAAATACAGATAACCTCCTCAATACAGATGGCTCATCCTGATTTTTGAGAGTTGAGCATTGAATGTGAGAAGACAAAGATTGGGCGCTTATCTTCCATACCTTGGACGTGTACCAGTACCACCGTGATCGTCGCGGCCAACCACCATACGATGAACCTTTCCCTATACAGCATCTCCGCTTTCCTAATCCTCGACACCGAAGGACACCGCGTCCTGGCTAAATACTACCGCCCGAAAAGCCATCCGCAACTACATCCTGCGTTGACGACCTTGAAGGACCAAAAAGCTTTTGAAAAGGGTCTTTGGGCAAAGACTAAGAAGGCTGGAGGTGCTTATTTACATTTGATCCTAACTTGACCTTGATCTTGACCCAAATTTCCAGGCGACATAATCCTCTACGACGGACACCTGGCCGTATATAAACATTCTCTTGACATTATCCTCTACTTTATCGCCAGTCCCAGCGAAAACGAGCTAATGCTCTCCACGGCTCTCAATTCTCTAATAGACGCACAGTCGCTGCTACTCCGTAATCAGCTCGAAAAGAGGGGGGTGTTGGAGAATTTGGATGTGGTGTTATTGTGTTTGGATGAGACTGTTGATGATGGGTGCGTAGCTGTCTCTGTGCTTATCCTCACTAACCTCCTTCCAGAATCATCCTCGACACCGATGCTGCTGCTATCGCTTCCCGCGTTAGCAGGTCACGTCCCGACACAACCGATATCACCATTAATGAGCAGACCATTATGAATGCGTATCAAACGGTGAGGGATAGAGTTGCGCAGAGGATACGGGAGCTGTGAGCGAGGGTAGCCAGTCTGTACGTGATGGAATACGTATGAGGAATATATTGCTGCTAGCTGGTTTTGCGTTCCAACAAGACTCGAGAGCTTTTCTTTACACTGTTTGTGTTCTACGTGGCGCACATCGTTCGTCTCTCAGTATACTACAGTCCTCATCCTGGTCCGCGTTTACTTAGGTTACTGAGTAACGTTTATCTTCTTCTTGTCGATTTCTTCCTCTCATTATCATTATCATCTACCTTCCTCCATACACTCCCAAGAATACGAAGCCTTTGGTGTCGTCGCGTCGCAGTGAAGATCACCACAACATACCAGGATTGAAATCCGTGATAATGAAACAGGGTATGTATGCTTCGTTCTTCTTGAGATATATATTGCGAGAGAATAAGGGATAGGAAGATTCCGTTGCATGGACGATAGGCCGGAGGGAGGAATGACTGGCAGACTCGCAACTTGGCAAGCTTGCTTACGGGCAGGGACGCTTGTATCTCCAAAATGAAGAAGCCGAGCAGCTTGCTCTTTTTCTGATAGTGACAAGCAGCTGCAATTAATAACTGTCGATTAACAGCGCGAACCAAGAAGTGAACTGAAGCGCATAGTAATACGAACGTGGTTTGATGGTGTAGAGGTAGATTAGGCTGCTATCGTCTGGCCTCAGTTTCAGGTTCGATTCCTGAACAGATCCTAAAGTGTTTAGGGTGTATCCGTTATTTTTTAGTCCAAGAGAGGTCTGAACCAGTTCGAGAACAATTAGGCGCTCATCGCGAATTTTCTCCTCTTCTATCATGTTTAGAGCTTGCCTAGCTCAAAGTCGGTACCATTTTCCCTTCATGTATCGTTCCAATTCTTACACGTCTCCAAATTTCAGCTTCCTCACGAACGGTCGCGTCTCCGAGCATTTGCGCTCTTCATACTTCCGCCGTCCGAAACGCCCTCACAAGCAAAGCCAAAGCCGAAATCAAAGCTGAAAAATGGCGGATATCCAACGCCAATCGACCAAGCCCCGTTTTCGGCACGCGAAAAGGCCAAGAACACAAATGGGACGAGTGCTATTTGGCCAAGATCCTCGTAAATGAAGCCGAATTGGCTGCGCCTTCAGAAATGATACCCATAAAGCTTCCTGTTGGGACAGTGTCTTTGCCGCCGCTAATGGGCTTTGGTGTCACAGACACCGACGCAGAGAAACTTTTCCGACATCTCCCCAAGTTATCTGCGTACGCAGGAATCAAAGAGACGAATGGAGACAGCGAATTATTCGAGCGGGAGGTTGCGAGGACAATGTCGAGGGAGAAACAAAAAGCAACAACATTTGCAAAGGTGGTTGATCTTAGGAATGCAGACGCGGATGGAATTGCGTATGAAAACAAGCGGAGGATTATTGTAGCTTTTTCTACGCCAGAGAATCCGTTTGACCCTGGGCGTACGGAGGTTCAAGGTACGTCGTTGTCATTATTACATGCTGCCCGAGTAAATCTCTTGCTTCCTAGCTGCCATCCTCACGTACCGAATCCGAAATCTGGGTACCCACTTGGCGAAATTCCCAAGAGACTTGGGCAATCGTCTTGGGCTGAGAAAGCTTGTGCACCATCGAGCAAAGATACTGAAATATCTAAAACGAACGAGCGTCGAACGCTATGAAATTCTGTTAGAGCAGCTTGGGATGGAACCGGCAAGTGTAGAGGGCGAGTTGATTGTCTAGACTAATTACATTGGCATAATTCTATCATTTTGTCTCAAGCAAGCCCGCACACACACACACACACTAAGATGCTTCTACGTTGCCTTCTTAGCCTCCTTCCTAGCCGCAACCTTTTCCCGATCCCTCTTCGCAAACAGCTTATGCCTAGAGTTATTCGCAGCAGATTTCGCCAACGACTTGTTCATCGACTTGTTCTGCTCCATATACGCCATATTCTGTGCCCCACTCAAAGATGTCAAGGAACTCGTCGTCCTATGCGCCGCAGGGAACCTCGTCGGCCCAAAGTCTTTAGACGTGATAGTACCAGCCAAGTCGCCCTCGGAGGCGCGAACATCCGAACCAGGCTCGGCATCTGCTTCGTGCGCGATAAGAACCGATTGCAACAGCTCAAGTTGTTCATCGCGAGTGCGATAGACGAGGTCTGGAAAGTCCTTTAGAACCGTCGAGGCTTGTGATGACTTTGAAGGCGTAGCCTTGATCGATGAGGAATTGCTGGCGTTTGGTGGAGTAAAACATTTCTTGCGTGTCTTTTGATACGAGAGAGTAGAAGAAGGCGTTGAAGCCTTCGTCGTTTCGACGCTTGGCTCGGAGGATACGGCCTGTGGTGGAGGTCATTTAGAAGGCATAGAGAGAGATAAAGCTTCCTCCTCGTACCTAAGCGCTGTGCTTCCTGTCGTCGAGACCCAAAATGCGAGGAAATCTGAATGAGACATGTTGCTTCAGGCAAGTCGATCGACGTATCCCCGACCTAGAATAAATAAACGAGGTCAAAAGGCTGCCCAGTAACATCATAGTTCCTACTCACTTTTGACAAAAAGATTGTGCTCACTGCCGGATTGTGTTGAAAGTATTGCAAGACCCGCATACGCTCTGTTTGTCCTGTGCCTCCATGGATATAGGGCTTCTTCAGTTTCTTAGCGTAGGCCTGTGTAATGGGTTTAGTAGGTGCCGCATCGATGCAGGATATATATCCAACCAACGTACCTCCAGCGCGAACACATTATCCGAAAACACAATGATCTTATCTCCTCTCTCTTCGTGGTAGTTTATCAAATATTGACATGCTTGAAACTTGTTGGGGTTCATGCAATAGAGCAATGCACGCTTTCGAGACTGTTCACGAAGATATTCGTGGTAAAATTCTGGCGTCATGCTACACCAAACCTCAGCGCACTAAAAAAAAAAGCGAACGGGTGAGTGGCTGGTAGGGACTCAGAGGACGTTTCCACCTACCTGCACGTTTGCAATATGGCCTTTGGCAGCAAGATCCCTGTTGAATAAACAACACGGTCAGAAATTTGTAGAAAGTAAGCGTTTGCATGCAGGGACATACATCCAATTTGCTTCGTAAAGTTTGGGCCCAATCATATAATTCAAATCAGCAATCTTGTCGTCTTCGCGGACCAACGTGGCTAAGTGAGGTTCAAAGGCGTCAATACATATATTGCAAAATAGCTGATCTAGTTAAGCTCACCAGTAAGCCCCAGTTTCGAGTGAGCCTTGATAGTAGTCACCACTCGACGAAACATATTCGCCGGTACGACGTGGACTTCATCCAAAAGCAAGAAACCCCATTCCCTAGATGTTAAGAATTCCATCATCTTTTTAGACTCGTGTGATCGGTTGTGGGTGTTGGCGACCATGGAGTATGTGGAAACGACGATACCACTTTCGCCGCCAAACTAGAGGTGAGAGGAGTTGGCTAGGTGATGTGAGGAAAGACTGAGTATGAGGACACAAACCTTTTCTTTTTGGTCAGAGGTGAAGACGGCTATTTGGCGGTCAGTGATGTTGGACCATTGAAGGAACTGGGATTTCCATTGCTGAACAGAGACACTGAAGGTATTTTATCATGAAGAGTATTGGGTCAATCAAGGATAAGAGATTCTTACGATGATGTGCAAAGTACCAAACACGATTTCTTGATCGTGCAAGCGGCAGTAATTCCGACCAGAGTCTTGCCAGCACCGCAAGGAAGGACAATGATGCCAGAACGAGCACGGCTTCAGAGGGATTATTAGCACAAAGGGGAAGTAGCAACACAATGGAATGATGTGTACCCATTTCCAAACATCTTACTGAGACTGGTCTCCTGGTAGGGTCGAATGACAGTAGCAGGCTTCAGGTCAATATCAAGATTGGCATTGATGGTGTCGTTTCGGAAGTCATACTCCTCCAACATGGGGCTATTGAGCTCGTTACATCTCTTCTTGACGTCCTGCAAAAAAAAAATATTTCGTGGACGAAGCTTCTTTGAACGAGATATGTGCTTACGTCTATCTTAGAGTCGGCAATCTCGAACGAGTGGACATTATCGTCATCCTCATCGATTTCATCTAAAGGAATTTATTTAATATTGAATAAGAAAAGGAGAGAGGCAGCGCACCTCCTTCAACACCGACAACAGATGTAAAGAGATCCGCATCTGTGGTTTTCCCTTTACTAGCAGCATCATTTGCCTTGTCAGCTTCCTTGTTCGTCCCCGGAATGACAAGGTTGCCTTTGACTGGGGCTTTGGAAGTGGTAAAAGTATTTGCTCTGATGCTGTTATCGGTCTGAACAGATATCACACGCGCATCCTGAATCGTCGGGTCTCGCAGTAACTTCTGCAGGAGATCCGGATGACTAGATTCGACAAAGTACTTGTTATGTTTTAGAACAAGTTTGACTTTGCCGTAGGTCTCAGTGCATTTTCGTATATGGGCAACGATGGGTTCCGGGACGGGGACCTTGCGAAGAGGTTTTAAAAAGGCACTCATGGTGGGCGGGTTCCCGGCTACAACATACCTTGGACAACCGATTGAGAACCTTAGTAGTAACACATTAGCACTAAAGACGCATGAGTAAGCAAAGCGCGAACTTCGATTATATCCTCGGTCTGAAGGCCAACAGATACAGCGGCGTACAACGAGTAGGAAGTAAGTTTGTATTCGTGGATGAAGGCCGGTCTGCGGTGTAGAAATATGTACCTAGAGAGAACAGGAGGGCGAGACTATACGCACCTACTGACAGGTTCACTGATTGCTGTCAGGAAATCCTGGGCTTGCTCAGCGATAGGAGAAAAGGCTTCAAGGATGATGAGACCGTCATCTGGGCTAATCCATAGCGGACGAGATGCATGGTCGGGTTTAAGGTGCATGAAAGAAAAGTCCTGGTCCATGAATATATGGGAAACAAGGTTGCTCTGCTGGTGCCGATGGATTTCCAAGGCAGACATATCTGAGGTATTAAAGTCTTCTGCGCGTTTTGCCTCTGCAAGTTTGCGTGTAAGAGCACTAAAGTTTATGGTGGCATTTCGAGGAATTAAAGAGTTGTCCTCTGGAGGAGAAGGAGGAATGACATCGTCTTCATCTTGGATTTCCATGTAATCATCCTCTTGCCTCTGACGTTTGGAGGGCTGAGAGCGCGAAGGACCTGCAGCAGGGCGTTTCGACATTGTGGTCGAGTCGAAAGTAAACAATTATTGTTATTATTGGCGGTTCCGGGCCTTAGTCGCGATGAGTAATTTCCCAGGCCCCCGGGGCAAGTGCCGTCGGCAGTTTCGTTCTCTTCCTCTTCCGCCTTGTTACTGCTTTGGTGAAGTAACTCTCCAGTTGGAAGATGCTCCCAATGTCCAACGCGAGCACTTTTGACCGTCGCAGGCCAGGGCAGGCTCGCAGACGCCCTCTAGTTCGCTCGAATTCCTCATTGTTGGGAAGCATTAAAAATTTCGTGGCCGCACCTTTTGCCAGGCTTTTTACCGGAAATCCTAACGATTTCGACGACCCCAATGGCTTTTCTGGAAAACGGAGAATAATCGTTAACCAAGAAGTCGATAATAATGACTTTGTCGAGGATGGGCCAGCTCCTGCAAAGCGTATGCGGGTCAAGAGTCCTTCTCCGCCGCGCTCTGCTGGCTACCTCGACCCTCCCGGCTCTGCGTTCCATCTCAACAGTAATAATAATTTATCCAGCAACCTTCCCAGTCGTTCGGTTTCGATTCCTCT